ACATTTGGTTTTCTCGCACCAGAGGCGATGGAGCTCCTTAATAGAGTCCAACGGGTCATGCATTCTAATGTCATATCTCCTAGATCCACAAATATTGTTTTCAAAAGAATTGGTTTTGCCATCTAGAAAGGGCTAGCGGCGCAACTTGTTGCCCATTTTCCTTCAATCGATATGTATTGAACTTTCCTATGTTTTAGATCAATATATCTTCGCAAATAGAAGAAGTTAGAGCGGACAGCCGGACAACCCATGTTTTTCTCACTGAAAAGAGTTTGTAGAAATAGGAAACTCATGTTTAAACTACAATTTTTTTATGAGCTTTTACAAATCAACACCAATCTTTTTATCTTAGCTTGATCTTGTCATAGTTTATTTCTTCTTTGTTGACACTTTTCGGCTTTTGGTGTTTGTTTGGTATTGATGGTCCAATGTTTTGTTATTTTTGTTGTTACGGTTACTCGATAGTTTAAGCCGGACAGAATACAATAAATTGCATAACGTGGGGAGTTGAGTTAGGAGGAACCACATCTTCGAAAAACACTACATAATGAGTGTAGTTTGTGGTGCGGTTTATAATGTAATTTTTTCTCAATTTTTATAATATTTAATTAAATTATATATTTTAAAATTTTATAAAACTTATATTAGCATTGGATTTTAATTCTCTACAAAAAAATATATTGATATAATATATATATATATATATATATATATATATATATATATATATATATATATAGAAATATTAAAAACTAAGAGGAAATAAAAATGATGATTTTAATTCTCTACAAAAAAATATATTGATATAAAATCTCCATCCATGGTTGTCGACGTTTTCTTTACTTCTGAAGTTCCTTTAAGCCCATGAATGTCCTTCTCCCTTGATATCAATAGTCCATCATTCCAACAACGTTTTCATGTTAGGAACTAATGGTTGGTAGTGAGGATCTCCGGTTTCTTTCATTGAGTTGTTCGCTTATTGTTTCCGGCGACATAAATTAAAAATCCTTAAGAAATTAATTCATTGCAGGAAGATGAGTGACGTAACTCTTCGAGTTTTGGGAATGACCTTAACATGGTTAACCGTTTCTGCAGTCTTCGGCTTCTTCAAATCGGAATCCGTCGTCGACGGAAATAAAACCCCATTAATCCCATGAACTGATATTCTTCCATCGATGGTCAATTTCTCTATAGATTCTTCATTCAATGCCAACACCGTCAATACGTATCCCTCCGACGCTAACTTCCCCATTTTCGTTGCCAAAATTTTTAGATTCACCAAAATGCTACCCATCTCATTGTACCTTAACGTGATGCAGAACCCTATGGATGAAATCCTTGACCTGGCTCTCGCCATCAAAACGGTGGCAAGGGCCTCTGGTATCTGGGGCAGAAGTCGGAGCCAACAGAGGAGCAGGTGCCATGGCGGAGTATATTAGAAGAATAGGGTCCGCACCAATAGGAACAACCGGTATTGGTTTAATCAATTTGTTCGTCCTGGGTTCCACCTCCAATGCTCTTTCCGGTTTAGCGACATAAATAGCATGCAAGCTCTGGCAGGTATTGAAATCCTGTTGTACAAATGTTGGGATCAACAACCAACGAATCTCATGGATAATTCTATCGTTGCGAACATCTTCCACACGAACAACCTCCTCGGAACCAACAAACTTCACCGACGACTAAAAATGGAACGATGTAAGGGGTCATCTATATCATGACATGTAGTTTCATTCGACCATCGTGAGAGATCGAGTCTGAATTGAGAGAGAAGAAGAATAAGAAGTGGGGAAGGGATGGAAAGGAATATTTTGACTTTTCAGAGTCAATGTTAAAAGAAAATCAGTCGATGTCTATATGGAAAAGGGGTAACCGGGTTACCCCTTCATTTTGTCAAAAATGATCAAATTGACCAGATAAAAACATGTTTAACGATCTAGAAAACACGGAAAATCCGTAAGGGACAAAAAAGGTAAAATCAAAATATATATTAGGACTGTTGCATCATTTTCCTTTGAAAAAATAACTATGTCCTTGGATCATAACATGTTTCGATGTGTTTGACTTTGACTAATTGGATGTGGAACCATGAGCGTATTCGGCACAGAGTGTTTAGGAGCGTTTGGAAGATTCTAGCTTCTAGCATTTGACAAACTGCTCTGTTTTAAATAGAAAGTCTTGTCTGACACTATAAGCTCCAAATCCAAAAGCTACCTCACATAGCATTTAACAAAACGCTACCAATTACTGGTTATCCGCTACCCGCCACCAGCTACCCACTACACGTTAATTCTTCTAAACATAACCTATATTTTTTGCTAGATTTTTATCTTGTTATTTTGCTTTTAGCTTTTCCATGTTTTCTTTTAGTCCATCGGTATATTTATGGTTCAACCTTCTTGCAATTTTTGTGGGTATGGCTTTTTATGGCATTTTTGTTACTTTGGTTGGTTAGAGTTTTAGTTTTTTGGATGATCTTATTTCATTATTTTTTCTTATAATTGTATTTTTTTTTTCAGTTTCTTGATGTTGGTAATTTTATAGTATTTATGGATTATGTTATTGATTTTAGTGTTATCAATATATTTTAGTGTAGTTATTATTAATATTGAGATATGTAAGTTTTATTTACTCGTCGAGACGAGATCGGAAGTGCGAAGTGTACACTCGGAATAATAATGTGAACTTGAAAATTCGAGAGTCCGAGGGTAGCATCTCTTGGTATAGGGCTCCAAGAGGCAACACCCCCAACATGGTCTTATGGTCTTGCGAGGTCCATGGGGCACTAGCGGTGGTTCCACTGAAAATGAATGTTAACCAACTTTCTAACCGCCATGCATTTTCCCGCAAAAAAGGGTTATGACATCATGATGAGATAATAGTTGACTATGTCTTCTAACCATCAATTTTTGTGCCAAAATAAATGCTAACCACATTTCTAACCGCCATCTTTCTTATATAAAAGAAAGATATATTTCATGCAAATGTTACAATGTGATACTCGAAAATCTATCACTTTGCATTTCACTATCTCGAAGAACACTCAACAAAGAAGGTATTATGTGTTTGTAAGTTAGATTGATCCTGAAATCTGAGTTGATCTCTTGAATTGTCCCATGAATCTGCATTCGTATAACCCTACGAATAAATGTCAAATTACAGATTTTGGAATGCAATTTCCAAAACACGATTCAAGAGATTATCTAAATCATTGTTATTTCTACCCTTAAATTCTAACATATTACGCCTAAAACAAAAGTGATGAATATTAATAAAATAGGAAAAAAAATGTTTGACAAGGAAAGCTAAAAATGATAGGACATGCTCCTCAAACCACAAGTTGTCATGATTGAATATAAGATGGTATTATAGTATGCTCATAAGACAAATAAAAAGCCGAACATCATATGTAAAGCAAATTTTTATCATGAAGAAAGTGTTTGTGGAAACTCATGATTCAGTTGTGGCGACAAATTTTTGACGAGATGTTACAACACACTAACAAACTCTTAGTTCTTAATTAGTTTGAATAGTCATCATTTTGTTCTCCTTAGTTGATCCTCTTCGGCTTGTCGCTTGTGTTTGTTTGGTCTTGACGGTTAAATATGTTGTCACTTGACATTTGTTATTGTTATTTGTGTTCGAAGAACTTTTAACTTAAAATATTGCTTAATTAGATGTGAATCCCTATTTTTTTCGTTAGCTTTTTATCGCGGTGACATTTTGTTTTTAGCCTTTTCGTGTTTTCTCTTTCGTCTAGGGTATATATTTGTGGTTCCATGTTCTAAGGTTACCATTGGGTATGGTTGTTTATGTCATTTTTCTAGGTGATCTGCTTTCAATTTTTTCTTGGAAATGTTACTATCTTTTTACGTCCTTGCTGGTGGTTTATTTATAATATTTCTGGTTTGGGATTAAAAAAAAAACAAAACTCATTGAAATTAATATAATGGAAAGAATGTCCAACAAGGAAAGCCAAAACTGTTAGGACATGGTCCTAAAACCACAAGTTTCCGTGATTGAATATAAGACGTACTATTAGCATATTAGCATGCTCAATAAGACAAATAAAAAGTCGAAAATCATGTGTAAAGCAAGTTTCCATGATTGAGAAAGTGTTCGTGAAAACTCATGATTCAATTGTGGTTACAAATTTGTGACGAAATGTAACAATTCACCAACAATCTCCCGTCCTTAGCTTATGTATAGATCTTGTCATCACTACTTTCTCCTAACTTTTCTCATTTATGGTTGCTTTTTCGAATTGTATCCACCTTTATCTTCCCATATTACGTCTTTTATACATATCTTTTTGTACAAAACATCATAATTGTGGCAGTTACAACAAAGGCTGCTTAAAATTTGTATTAAGATCGATCTTTTTTGGTAAAAAGATACCTATTTTTTTTGGATCAATTAGTGTCTTAAAGTAAAAAAGTAAGACAATATTTCGTGTTATAAATATTACGCTTGCGACTTTCGAAGTATTATGAGAAAAAAGTTTCCTAAAGAAGTAAATTTGAGGGTCCCAACATTTCCAAAATAACTTTGTTTTCTTATGTGATATTATATTTTATTTATAATTCTATTTCTCTGATATCTACTTATTATTTATTAACCATAGGATTGTTACCTTGGATTCTGTTTTTCTTAACGAATTTATTAAATAATTATTAAACTTTTTAATAAACTATATATGTTGTTGGATCTAAAAAACTAAAAATAGAAATTTATGAAAATACTCTTGGTAAAATAATACAGGAATAATTCTTACGTTTGTAAAGTCAAAAGATTGACTATCTGATCAATCACATCAAACGGTATAGAGAGCGGTAGGCCTGGACCAGTATAGCAAGTGAGAAGTACCCAAATATTACTAAAAATAAACAACTCGAAACGCTGTCGTATCATTGGTAGAAATAGTAGCTACTCCAATTCCACGTGGCAGCTACATATAAGCCACGTCAGTTTTCGATGACGGTAATGAGTACCCTCTTTAGATCTGATGGTCCTCATCATCATCCCCATCATCAACATCATCATCATCATCAACATCATACCACACAATCACGATTCCCATACACATCTACAACTCCCTTTTAATCTCCTCCCATAACTACACAAACACACACCTCAGTGTGTTTTTGTGCGTGTCTGTGCCACCAGATTAAAATAAAAAGCTTCCTCTGTTTCTGACTTTCAGTCTTGAAAACCTTATCATTCTACTATAAATATAAAGGAAACCCTTAAATCCTCTTTCCGTCTTTCGATTTCTGAAAAGAAGTGATCGATTATAATGGGAGAGGTGGGTTTTTGTAGCTCTTAGATTTTGATTCGTTTTTTTTTTTTTTTGGTTTATTGGAAAAAGCATGAATCTTTTTGACATTTCTGATGTGGGTTTTGTTTTTTTAGCAAGTAGCAAAGCCGGAGGAGGAGAAGAAACCAGAGGAAGAGAAGAAGGAAGAACCGGCGAAAGCTGATGAGAAGAAACCAGAGGAGGAAAAAGACGCACCACCACCACCACCTCCGCCGCCGCAAGAGATTGTTTTGAGAGTTTTCATGCATTGCGAAGGCTGTGCTAGAAAAGTCCGGCGGTGCCTCAGGGGATTCGATGGTTTGTTTACGATATATACATCTGCTGATTGATTTGATTTTGAAGTTTGAATTGAACTGAATGATATTTGTTTGAATTATTAAGGAGTGGAAGATGTTGCTACGGATTGTAAGACGCATAAGGTTGTAGTGAAGGGAGAAAAAGCAGATCCGTTGAAGGTTCTTGAAAGGGTTCAGAAAAAGAGTCACCGGCAAGTTGAGCTTCTTTCTCCGATACCAAAACCGCCGGAGGAGGAGCCGAAAGTGGAGGAGAAAGAAGCTCCAAAACCGGAAGAGAAGAAAGAAGAGGTTAGTTGATTAATTTACAGTTTTGCCACTGTTAATGATCTGAAGTATATAGAATCATTCAAATTCCTCATGTGGTTTGTGATGTTCAACTACAGCCTCCTCAGGTGATTACAGTGCTTCTGAAAGTAAACATGCATTGTGAAGCTTGTGCTCAAGAGATCAGAAAACGTATTCTAAGGATGAAAGGTGAGTGTTCTTGTTTATAAAGCAATCATTTTTACGAATAAAAATTCCTTTTTTTTGACTAATTACGAATCTTGTTTGACTTGTTTTTCTTTTGTTTTGATCTACAACCATCAACTTCTTTAGAACTCACTCCATCTCCCTTTTTTGAATCTTGAAAATCTTAACCAAAATTGAAAATTCATCTACCTTTTTCTATAATAGTAATCCATCACTATCTCTATATATCTCCATATTTTATTGATTCAAATTCGTGAATTCTTTCAAGATTCCATGTATTTTGTTTTAGATTGAATAACCCATTTTAATATTACTGAAAATATTCTAATAAAATCCCAACTACCAAATCATTAACAATATCTTGCATCGTTTGTGTATTTTAGGGGTGGAAAGTGTTGAACCAGATCTAAAAAGCTCACAAGTATCAGTGAAAGGCACGTTCACAGCTCCACAGTTGGTGGAGTACATTCACAAAAGAACCGGAAAACACGCCGTGATCGTGAAACAAGACCCTGAACCAAAGAAAGAGGAGGACAAGGGTGCCGACGAGAAGAAGGACGACGGCGGCGAAAAGAAGGAAGAGGCAAAAGCAGAAGAAGGTGGCGGCGGCGGTGAAGAGAAAGATAAGGAGAAAGACGAGAAGAAAGACGAGAAGAAGGAAGGCGGAGGAGAAGAAGCAGGAAAACCAGACGGTGGTCCGGAAGGCGGCGGCGACGGAGGAGGAGAGGATACGAGGGTGGTGGAGCTTCGGAAAAACGAATTCTACTATTACCATCCACAGAATTACCATGTATACCCGCCAAGATACACCGCAGAATCGGCGTATGGGTACCCACCAGCACCACAAATGTTCAGTGACGAGAACCCCAATGCATGCACTGTAATGTAAAAAATGGAGTAAATGTTAGAGAGAGAGAGAGAGAGAGAGAGAGAGAGAGAGAGAAGAGAGAGAGAAAGAGAGAGGGGTAAAATGGGGAAGAAGAAGATTGAAGAAAGCACAGAGCATATCACATGGGTGAGCATGAGAGGATTCTGTCGTGGCGTTCATGTGGCCTTTGTCTGTGGTGAGCTTCTGTTTAGTATAAAAGTGTCTGCAGGAAAGTTGTAAAATTTTGTGAGACCTTTTGTACTTTTTTTTTTTTAAATTTTTTTTTTTTTATTATAAACTATAGTAGTAAACTAAGTAAGTGCTCACTTATGACAAATTATATAAAGTAAAATAAGAATGAGCACTCATGTTATAATAAATAAATAAATTCTATATATATATATATATTGTTGATGTGTATATATATTTTTTTATCTCTAGTTAGTGTAACTAATTTGACAAACGAGTAGTTTAAAAAAGGAATAATATTTGTACTAATTTTGGAATTGTCGTTTATCAAGGACGGATTTTATATTAGATCTAATAAAGAAATTAGTGAAGACTGGTATTTTGCTTGGATAACTACAAATAACGGTGTACTATTTCACATGCATGCAAGTTATATATATTTCTATATTCTCCGTTTTGCCCTTTCTTTTGCTTTTCAGAAACCAAGGTTCTTATTTGCAAAAGGTTTGGCTACACGATACGTAAAGTAATCTTATTAGAAAAGACATAAGAATTACATTTAGATTAAAATTGCTTTGTTTCTAATTCTTTAACAATCACTTTCATCGTTCACAAGATAAAGTTTGGGTTTCCTATAAGAAAGGTCCTTAAGTTCAAATCCTAGGGGTTTCACTCAGGGTTCCCTAGCTAAACGGGATAACCTTTTGAAAAATGTGGTTACTAGTTCTTTGATGTTGATTGAAGACGATATCTGATTTCTATTGATTCATACTTGGTGGTTTTGTATCTGTTAATTGAACATGATTGAAATATGTTTGGTATATTAACTCAAAAGTTGGAAAACTAATTGATATCTAAAAAACTAATTAGTAATTAAAAAACTAATTGATAGTTAAAAATAACGTTTGATAAAATTAACTAATAAAGATATATTAGAAAAAATTAACTGATAAATTAATTGAGTTTAAAATGACATATAAAGATATATAGAAAAAATGTTTGTTATAATTAAAGGGTATATATAGAATATATTTTTTTTAAAATAAACTTTATAAACCGGTTGAAAAACTACTGTGACTTGCTTTTTAAAAGTTTGTAAACTATTATGTCAAATATTTTTGTTTGTCAAACATGATTTAAAAAAAAAAAAAAAAAAAAAAAAAAAAAAAAAAAAAAAACACTCAAAAAATAAGCTTGATTTTAAGCTAGCTTAGTTAGGCGCAACTTAATTTGCATATTATGAACTAATTTCATATTACTATGGTCTAGTGTTCACAGTATTATTTCAAGTTTATCAAATTCAAAGTTAGGATTATACTTGAAGGTGGCAATCTGGTTTTTGAGAAACGAACAGTTTTTAAGAAAAAAATGATATGGATAAAAAGTGAAAGAGTTTATTTCGTCACAATTATAAACAAATTATGAGAATCATTATAATTTTAAATTTAAAAAAGAAATTATGGTTTGTAATTGTGCCATAAACATAAGCGTTACAAAAAAATGTTTTACTGAGAAAGTTAATGGCTGGTACTTGTCGTTATATATTTCTGTCTTCGAGAAAATTATTGTTAGTTGGACCACAACATGCAAGTTATAAAGTGCTTTTTAGAATATAATAATGTCATTGGAAGTTTTAAATGCAAAAATGATATTAGAATTTGTAGCTATGAACTTTTCACATGTCTATAACTTTGTAATAACAGTTTTTTTTTAACAAATTTCTACTATTTTTGTAAACGTATCCATCAAATGATTATTGAATCAGGAATATGTTGGAGGTTTAGAGGTAACGACGGGTCTAGAGCAAAAATCAGTAGGGTTTACAATACAAGTAATATAAAATAAAATAAAATTTGAATAAAAAGTACGATGTCAATAGAAAATGTATCATGTTTTAACATTTTTTCAATAGAAAAGTTTTTATTTCTTGAAAATAATTTATAGCATACTTGATAAATCTTTCTTTTTTCCATAGCATAAATTACGACAAAATCCTTTTAGAAATCATTTTTAATGAAGAAACCATATCACCGGTTTAGTGGGACTAGACTATTTTTGATGCGCTACAGCTAGCTGAAAATTTAGTTTATTTTTCGAGTTTTTTTAAGTTGTCACGACAACCCAAAAAATAGCTTATAAGCTAGCTTTTTAAAAATTTACTTACACTAGCTTTTAAGAAGTTTTCTTTTTAAGTTTTCTAAATATACCCCTTAATTAATTATAAAAACACATTATTTTAAATGTCATTTCATATTTTTCAGCTAGCTTTTTTAGTTAGTTTTATCAAATGTCATTTTTTATTTTATCAAACGTTATTTTTTATCAGCTAACATTTTAGCTATCAACTAACTGTTTATTTCACAACTAGTTTTCCAGCCATTACCGAACTTTTCAGCTAACAACTAATTTTTCAACTAGTACGTCGAATATAGAATAGTTGCCAAAATAAAATAACACACGTTTCGAAATAAAGTGATAAATAATATATTTGCTTCAACAACCAATATCTACCCAAAATAATAGCGAGTAGTTGTGCTGGGTCCGAATCAACCCCCACGTCCGTATCCACCCCAAGTCCATAATGACTCCGACCCAGACTAGCTCAATAAATAAATCAAACAATCATATTATACAAAATCATAGGAAAACATACAATTTTACTCATACAATAAAGTGGGTCAACCTTGGTGCTTTCGACCCACTTAAGGTGATAAGAAGCCTCACCTCACAGACAAACGAAAAGTTAGAATAACATGTTGCTCTGAAACCCATGCTATTGATCACCTTTACGAATAACAGTAACCAAAACATAGACTACCATTCAAATACCTAAAATACCCCTAGGTCAAACTCTGGTTAAAATCCAGGTCAAAGTCAACTGAGTCAACCGAGCTTACTTAGTTAGTACGCAGGGAGTACACCTTGTGTACGCAGGGCATATTTTGTCGTTAACAGAGGATCGTGGAGTTGACCTCTTATGTTGGGTGTACCCCTTGGTACGCCCTTTGGGCATACCTCTTATGCTGGGCGTACCACTTGGTACATCCAACGTATATGGCTGCTCACCACCCCTCGTATTAAGAGCTTACGTCTAAATTTCAGATCTGGGAAACACATGATGTTCTGAACCATAAAGTTTCCAGATTTATGGTTTAGCATGGCTATTAAGATCTTAAATCTAGAAACCCTACTCTTTTAACCCATTAAGGAAGTCTAGCACTTGCATGGAGAGAAACTAATGACAAAAACCCTAACTTTATGACTTAACACCCCTCAAAACCTTTGAAAGAACAACTCAAATGCCTTGGAGTACCTTCTACTTACAAAGACCAAGTTTCAGACAAAAAGGGAACCATAACATCCCAAGACAATGTATACCTCATTAACCCTTGTTTTATTGTAATTATCAAGTTTAGCCCTTTATTTGAGAAAAGGTGGTAAATGAGTACGCAGGACATATGCGTGTTTACGCTTAGCGTACTCATGTGCGTGATTTGGACGCAGAGACCACCTAGTACGCTAGGCGTACCAAAGGGTACGTTGGGCGAACTAGGCTCAGAGTGAAAACCCTAATTGTGGGGTGTCTCCTTATTTAAGGAACATTATGGTCTCATTTCTGGCCACCATTTCTAGCCCTCAAACCTCTCAAACCCTAATATTCGTCCCTTGAGCTTGAGTGTCCATTTGTGAGCTTCTAAGTGTTCCTGTGGTATCCTTAGAGTGAAGAAGGAGAATTGAAGAGGATAGAGTTGGAGTCCAAGCTTTGGATTTGATCATTTCTGTGGTTGGAGTATCAGTTGAAGGTATAAAGCTCAACACTTTCTCATCCTTTTTTATTTGTGCATAATATGGTCCATTTTAGGGTTTTTTGTCCTAAAGCTTGAAGCTTTATTAGTGTTTGAACTCCAGAGCCGAATATATGTCCCTTTGAGTGTTCTTAATGGAGTGGATTCATAAAAAGGAAGCCCTGGACGTTAAAACCACCTCATACATGAGATATAAGCATTTTGAGAGTAGAGAAAGAGAGTTTTGGTGTTTGGGACTTTATCAGCCATGAAAAGGCTTAAAGTCACGAACTTTATGGAGTATGAACCTTTAGGGAGTGCAAATCTAATATTAGAGCTATGGTCTTAACAGATTAAGACCAAGAGAGTGTGAAGAACAAGCCTGGGACGTACGCCGAGCATAATCCCAATACCCGCAACGTAGGGTCAAGGATTCTCGATGCATGTGTGGCAATGTAGTACGCCCAGCGTAAAGGGTCTGTACGTGCAAGGTACACGCTCCAGTTGACTTTTGGTGACTTTTAGGGTTTGGTCAAATTATGGACTATAGAGGGCATGGAAGGGTAAAATGGTCTTTTATCCTTCTATGAGTTTGTAGAGGGTTTAGCCTAGCTTCTTTAAGGGTCATTTATTAATTAGAGATAATTATCATATGTGTTAGGGGAGGCTAGACCGACGATTCATGTGCAAGGTTTATTGCTTGCTTACGAGGTGAGTCTTCTCACTATACATACCTAAGTGGTATTGTAACGACCCAAAATTCAAGACCAAAAATTTCTTTTAATAAAACATTGCTTTAAGAAAAGTCATCATTCCAAAACATAATCAGAGTATAAGTTTTCAAAACACATGTTCATTATCAGAGTAAACATTCCCAGGCTATCTATTCAATGGTGTGTGCCATGCGATCACCCTGAGCTCTTCACTCCACTACCGGAAGTACCTGAAACCAAAACTGAAAACCATAAGCACGAAGCTTAGTGAGTTCCCCACCCTACCACATACCATGCATAATCACATACTGCACATACTGGGCCACGCCCGCTATGTTGGGCCTCGCCACCTGCTTCGGGCCTTACCCGCTACA